AAAGTGAGTGTGTATACTATGTAGTCAAGAAGAAAGCCATTACTAGATACCCATCATAGCCTAACTGCATCCAATATATTGTTGTATAGGTCATAAACACAAAACCTAAAAATGTTACTATTGAAAACCCTTCGAAGATTGTCTTTCATTACGGATTTGTCAAGTAAATGCCTCTAGAAAAGAATGCACCAAATACACCCATAAAACTATAGGGTCTGGATGGTTAAAGTGGAGACTGAAGGTCTGAGGAATGCTTCTGTGAAAACAAGAATGTCTTTTTTTTTTCTTAATTTCATAGGATTTCTGTTTGCTACTTCACACTGGATTCCATGCCTTCCAAGCTCTCTTCTGGCCTGACAATATCAGTGTTCCTCAGCTGTTTTCCCTTTCCCTTGTCAGCCACTCTTCTAGTGTGCTGGGAACTCTTGCTTCAGGCTGTCTAGAGCTGGCAAGGCCTTCCAGGGCCCAGCCAATTCCTCTATACCCAGAATCGTGTTGTTTTGGGGTTTTTGTTTTTCTTCCCTGATGTACCTTCTGTATACTGTACATAATTGTTTCCTAGAATTAAAGAAGAAGGAGGAACTAAGGCTGGAAGGAGACCTGTTATCCCAAGTGTCAATGCCAGCACCATGCTGCTAGGCAAACATCTGGTAGACACAGTAGGTGTAGAGGGGCAAGGAGGAAACTCTCCACTCAAGAAGATCACCTTTCACCTTGCGAGAACTCCGAACTGCACAATGCATTTACTCAGTAATCTCCAGGGTGAATTAATATACAAGAGAACTGGTAGCCTTGGAAACATCTGACTAAGGATAAAGTCTGAGAAAGAAAAGGAAAAGTTCACAGGCAATGGGCCATAAACTGGGTGATCACACAGCCTTTCTCTTTTTCACATTTTTACTCAATGCTTTCATGCTTGTTAATAAGATACATGGAGAAGCAGAAAACTTTTAAGTCATTCATGGACAAAAAGAGGTTAAGAAGCCTTTTTATGACGAGTGGTGGCTTCTGGGGAATCCACAGAACACCTTAGGTAGTCAGGCCGGAAAGGAGCTGCAGCTCATCCAGTCATCTGAATCATGCCTTCCACTTGTGCTGCAGATCAACAGGTAAATCTATGAAGTTTTACATGCTATACAAGAAAATAGTTCTTTCATTTCTCAGCAAATAGCAATGCCGAGAAAATACACACCTATCTTTATGACCCATTTTTTTATGTATGTTATTCATAGTTCGCATTCTGTCTTAACCTACATGATTCATATTTGAATCCTGGAAATACTATGAACTTCCACCATAAATTTAATATCTTTCATATCTTAAATTCTCTGTCTGGTTACCTTGACATGGAGACTCAAAGAATTGCTTTTCCTGTTTGAAAGATGATTGAAATCTCTTCATATTTAGCTGAAGATAGCATTGGATTGACCTAACTATAAAAGCCCAGCTTCCCATGATGTTGAAATATGAAAGATCAATAGTGCCTGGGCTTCAGTAACAAGTACATGTACAACAAGATATTTGGGTGGAACACACACACACACACACACACACACACACACACATGCTATATTATATGTATGCTATTTCATACAAATAGCAGCAAAATGGAGAATCTGATAAGTCTATGATTAGCCCTTTCTCTGCTCTAACATAATGCCCATGGAATGGGAATTTATAATCAGCACAACTTTACTATTCACAGTTCTAAAGAGTAGGACACCCAAGGTCATTATCAGCATCTGGCATGTAAGTGCCTGCTGCATCTTCCCATGGCAGAAGGTAGAAAGGTAACAGAGTATCAAACCCTCACATCAACCCTTCCTGCAGCTGCATTAAGCTACTGAAGTTATCAGAGTGCTCATGAGATGAACATGACCCAATGCTGCCTGCCTTCTGTCACAGATTCATGTCAACCAACATGCTTAGGCCATATATTTGGACAACATATGCTCCATTTCTGACTAGCGATGGCCCAGCATATAAAATAGCTTACAGATGTCTTCAGAAAAGTCATGGCTTCAAAGGCACGTACTCCAGTAACCATGTCATAAGAATGTAAAGTTCTCAAAGCCAAACCACTCAGCCATATGTTTCACATGTGAAGAATAACATGTGAACAGTTTCTAAATTAGCTTTATTTTAAGCAACCACAGAGTTTTACTTTTTTATTATTATTTGTTTTTTTTTTTGTTTGTTTGTTTGTTTTTTTTCCTTTTTCTTTCCTTTGAGACAAGGTTTCTCACTAGAGCTTAGATTATCCTGGGACTCACGATGTAGTCCAGGCTGGCGGTAAATTCTTGGTACACCCTCTACACAACCTCCCAAGGGCCAGGATTACAGATGTGAGTCACTATAACCAGCTCGGAATTTTTAAAACAAATGCTGCTAGGTAAAAAGATAAAATTAATCTTTGAAAATATTTTATTCCACTTATTTTGATCACTTTGAAACTCAGTCTCAGACATAGGACTAGGTAAGGTATAGAACAAAAAAACAAGATATTCTGTAAATGAGGACCCTTTGGTTACATTAGGTTCTATAGATAGCAAGCAAACCAATCAAAATGTCTTACCTAAAAATTATCCTTGCATAGCTTCTTTATATAGGAAATGAATTTAGAAACAGTTTAAAACAATTGAGGTAACTTTGTTTCTCATTAATTCTTTTTTTTTAAGGAATGAAATTCTTTTTTATATGTTAATTACAATTTAATTCCATTTGTATCCCAGCTGTACCCCCCTCCTTCCTCCCCTCCCAAGCCCCTCTCCAAGTCCACTGATAAGGGAGGACCTCCTCCTCTTCCATCTGACCCTAGCTTATCAGGGCCCATCAGGACTGGCTGCATTGTCTTCCTCTGTGGCCTAGTAAGGCTGCTCCCCCCTCAGAGGGAGTCTCACTAGCTCTTAAAAGTGTCTATTTTTTATGTGAATCATACTGAGATGAGATCATATCAACACTCCAAGGTCTGAACTCTCTATAGGTTCGATGAGGATACATTTCAACTTAGATAAGAGCAGAAGGGCACAGAACATGTGTTATATAAAAGTCTCTGCAGCCTGCCTAAAGGAAAAATGCCCCATACTAAATGAGTCCATGGGGTTCTCCAGCTTCAGTGGACTTGCAGAGTTAAGGACTTCATTCTCTAACATGAGCCACAGTACTAGGCTGACTTAACGCATCCCCTGTGTTACCTCAAATCTGTACATGTTTTTCCGATTTACTCTGATTAGAAATTCTGAACGTGATGTATTTGAGACATGTATATGAGCAAGAGAGTGGGAAAGCATGCTCTGCTAACAATGCAAAAGAAGGTACCAGAGATATTGAAGGACAGCCAACAACGTGTGTTTACATTAGAGATTAAAACATATTCACTGCTATCCCCCACTCAGGTAGATGGTAGGCAGAGAGGGTGAGTTTGTGTCCTCCTACATTTATTTTCAACCTTGAAACTGTATCAACACAGCCTGCAAAGGGCTGTCAGGTGCCAGCAGCCATATAAGTTTTACATAAAATAAACATAAAATGTTCTTACAATCCAGGTGGCTGTCTCATGCATTCCCAAGGAATGCAACTACTTAGAGTTAATTTCTTTTCCAAGGAATACTGTTACACACACACACACACACACACACACACACACACACATATATACAGACGCACACATATGTGTACATACCACATATACATAATATCCATGTTATATATATATATATATATATATATATATATATATATATATATATATAAAACACCACTTGGTTAATAAAATATATACAAATAAACTATTCTCATAAAATAGTCGAAATGACACTTATTAAAGCAAATGAGCCTTTAATTTTATTTTTCTTTTCAATTGTATTCATCAAATACTGTTTTTCTTAATTATTAGGAGTGCTTTCTAAAAATAACACTTTCTACAGTGTTTCAAAAGGTATTTTAGAAAAGATACAAATAAGATACAAAATAAGATACAAAAAAAAAATAAGATGCTGTATGCAAGTATAGGGAAGATTAATGAAACAAACAACAATGTGGCAATTTATCTGTAAATTGAACAATCACTTTAATGTTCAAGCAGGTCTAAATCAGCCATTGTTCACAACTGTGTTATATTTCACAGCTGTACCTATTTTTTTTATTTCATTGAGTGAAATTTTTAATATTTTACAGGTTTTTTTGTGAGAAAGCTTTTCATAATTTCATAAGAACACACCTAAACAAAAAAAATAATTTTCAAATACCATTTTTAAAATTATTTCCTGACCAAAATTTTGTTATATTTCTGATGAACAATTTTTCTGAGTAGACTCAGAGAAACTTTGTGAAAAATATTACAAAAAAATTTATGTATATGTTTTCTGAGAAAAGAACTTCGTTTTTAAATGGCAGAGGAGCCCTGTGATCCACCTTGCATTTGTTTCCAACAAATTAACCACGGCTGCCCGGTCCATCCAAAGTCAACAGAGCCAACCCTTCAAAGGGCAAAGGTATTCCATTAAGTAAGACGTGTAAAAAAGCCACTCCCCCAGCTGATAAGCTGGGCCTCTGAGATCTTGCCTTCTTCCTTGAGAGACTGAAATTACATTGATTACAAGAGGACACTTAACTTGTAAACCCGAGGAATAGTGACGAGAGTGCTTGATTACAACCAACGCAGCCACGTGCACACACAAAAATAAATATTGTGCCAGTGCTGGGGAAGTACCCCGGAACACCCACTGGAGCCCAGTGCCTTCACACTGGCCTGACAAAGGTTCCTATCTATCTTCCGCTATGCTTGTGATTCTCTGTTCCAGCAGTGAGACCAACAGTGACAACGTTTGTTCATCTTCCACATCAGTTAAGATCTCCACCCCTCGACCCCATCCTCAGAAACATCTTAGAACACACCGCTGGCACCCGCACCAGGCACACCGCGCGCGTGCCTGCACGCAGAGGTAGCGACACCACGGAGGTTTCTCATTAACAGCATTTCAAAGGCTGTTGGCACTTACCTTGCAAAGGCATGTTAGGTAAACCAGCTTCATTCTCTCCCATTTTATTCTTTCTTTTTGAAGGGAGCCAAGCAGTTTCGGGTTGTGTCAGCCACCCTGCGAGCCCGGTGACCTTCTGACTTGCTACAGTAGTATTGTAACAGTACACTACCGGCTTTCTTCTGTGAATAATTACCCTCTGCTTCCTGAGTTACCTGGCCTTGCAGGACCTGTTTTACTATGAAGTGAGCTCACATGCTTTCTTCCAATGCCCTGCTACTAAACCGCTTCACAAAACACAGCTTTGTTTCAGTTTTGGTATTAACTTTGTCCCTGAGTTTGGAGGCAGTATTTCCAACATTGCATAGTTCAGACATTTTTTTAAATGTTTTTATTTTTCTCTTTATAGTGTTCTCAATCTGTTTCTCTTAGAGACATATAATAAAAATTTCAGTAAATTATGCAATATCTGTTTTCTAAATAGAGGGAGCGAACAGCATGAGAATCGGTTTTGTACAATGGAGTTACGGTATTAAACGGAGTAATATGTTATCAGGAAGTTAACAGGAAGATTGAAAATAATGTGTGACTCTGTTAAACACAGAATGATGGGTGATGAACATGAAGTAATGGACACTTTTTCTCTTGCCTCTTTCTTCTCTTCCTTCTTCTGGGATTTCATCTATGCCTCACTACACTGGACTTAACCGCGAGATTTTAAATAAATTATTTCAGACTGACTAAGTGTGATGACACACACTCTCAATCCCAGGACTAGGGAGGCAGAGGCAGGTGGATCTCTGAACTTAAGGTCACAAGATCCATGTAACAAGTTCCAGGCCAGCAAAAGCTATATTGTAAAATGATGTTGAGAAAAAAAAAATAGTTCATTCTGTTCTAAAGACCCAGTACTCATTTGTATAGATTATTGCCATTCATCTATTTTTATAATAGGAAATTGAGTTAAATGACAGTAGCTGCTATACCTCAAGGAAACACAAGCTCTAAGAAGATGAGCCATAAATTGGAGTTTTATCTTTAAATGATAAGTTGTAAATTGAAAAATTCTTCATAAATTATGGGAATATATTTCAATTTTCACCGTCTTTCTCTTTATTTTTTTTTTAACAGTTGGCTTTCGGCAGAAAACAAGAAAAAATATATATACATACATGGCTCAAATTTTTCCTTTAACATGTCTCTCGTTTATACTACGTTTGCTAGCTTATTATTATTATTAATGGAAAAGATGATTTTATAACCAGTCTCTGTAAGCAACAGTAATGGCAAACAGCAGGAAATTACCTTCAAATGCATTAAAATATTAAAAGAAAAACATGACAGTAAAATACTTGTCAGAATTTACTGTTTCTTTCTTAACATTTGTTTTATTGATATGTGTGTGTGAGCGCCTTTGTCTGTGTTTAGGTATGTGCATATAATTACAAGTTCCTACAAAGACCAGTAGATTCACATCCCCTGTGTCTAGAGTTTTGGGCTTTTCTGAGTTGGTGCTGGGAACCAAATAGTATTCCTTCTCAAGAACAGTAGATTTTCTTAATTGTTGGGCTGTCTCTCCGGCCCCACATTTCAACATTCTGTATTGTCTTTACCATTTCTCAGACTCTTAGTTTCCTTATCATGAATGCGATGTCAGACAACCTTCTATCAAAGCCTGACTCCTAAATGTAAGCCAAGGCCTCCGTTTTCAGTCATGCAGGCTTGGGTCTGCTCCAGAACACAGTATTCTTGCTGAGTACAATGGAATGTCTTATCATACTTACCATGCAACAAATTTTACCAAAAGCAGACTGAATTGAATGTTTTCTGGAAGAATGCTATGATAATCACATTCTGACTTCATAGTGGCAGGAATAACATGCATGTTAATCCTCCCTCTTTTTAACAAAGATGAAAATGTATTGCCATTACTGCCTCAGGCACCTCTCATGAGTCAGTAAAAATACAGCACACCACTATGTACTCATTAGTGTGAATTACAACACCAAAGAGATTCCAATGAAAGTAGAATACACTATTCCTATTCTTGACTGAAGATAATAACATTAAAAAACAAAACAATAACTTAAACCACCAAATCAAACAAATACACATTCAGTGGGAGAGAAGCAATTGCAATATTCAGAAAGCACCTTGCACAGTTACACATGCTTTTGCTCTTTCTCTTCATGCCTTATCACATGCTTGAGAAATGTCTTTCAGGAAAAAGGTTGCCGCTGCTGCTGCTGGTGTATGTCTACATGTTCATGTCTGTACATGTGTAGCTGTGTGTTTACATGTGAACTTGTATATATGTAGGCCAAAGGAAACTTACCAAATGAATTTCTACCTTAATTTTTGAGGCAGGATCTCTAGCTGAACCAGAAATCCTGTTTTGACCCTGCTTCTCTGGTGCTTGATTACAGACAGAGATAGGGTTCACCTCTGTATGTGGTAGCAGGGAGTCTGGGTCAGGTGCTAATGCTTACACAACACATACTTTCCTGCTGAGCCACCTTCATTGGTTCTGGTTCGTTTTTAAATAACCAAAATATTTTCTAAAATCCTTGAATATTTCTTTACTATTTGCATGATTAATTTATTTGCAAAAACTCTTTTGGAGCCTCGTTTAGGTGAAGAGTCCCTTTGTGATAATCTACATGTTCTTTCATGATGCTGAGGTCGGGGTTCTGGGACCCAGGGCAGTGGCCTGGTGTATGAGTTGCATTGAGACATTTTCAAACCCTTGGAATCTCTTTTTGAGATAGGTAGGAGTAAGACTCTCTCCCTGCCCGGGCCTGCATGCCTTGGCATAGGTTAGCCTTGAGGCTGACCCTTAAACCTCATCTCCAGGAGGTCACCTAGTGTGACAATGAGCTTAAACTTCCTTTCCCCTTATAAGGTAATATCCAGCAACACCTTAACTTGCTCTTTATGCAAATGAGGCATCCTTAGCACCTTGGCATCCCCAATGATGTAGACTCACCCTGATGCGCCTACTCACCCCTAAACTTTGTTTCTAGGGAAGTCTGTTTTTTTTTTTTTTTTTTTTTTTTTTTGTGTGTGTGTGTGTGTGTGCTCACCAGTGCCTGAGGTCTCTCTCACAGCCACCACCACCACCACCACCACCCCATCCCACCAGGGCCACCCTGCTTCCTCCCCTCGGGACCCACCTGCAGCAGTCATGGGCTGACTGTGCCAGGAAGGGAGAGGGAATGGAGAGAGAAGGGCACTAAGGTCTTCCTTTTACTTTAACCTTAGTCACAGTGTACTGTAACACATGCTTTTAAAATTGAGTACCTGCTTATCATACATCTAATATGTCTTCATCAAATATTTAGAAGTTAATGAAATGGTCACCTGTACACATACATAGACATGTGGCAAATACATAAAAGTACACACACACACACACACACACACGCACAGATGTTACTGGTGTCATTAGCCAACCACCACCTTCATGTGATGCCTTTCTGAAAACTTTTTGAATCTTCAAATGCTCTGACTCAATATGCTCTGCATGATTTCCATAACTACAGTAGCACTGTAAAACTCAGATGGCAAAATTAAAGGAAACTATCTAACCATATCATCTAATCCTGAAATGACATCCAAAGTGAGTTGGAAAAGAATAGTATAACTATTATGTTATACCCAGGCTGAAGGTTTACGAATAAACTACTCATAGAGGAAGAATCAGTGTTATAGCATAAACTTGCATGAGGTCAAATATGGGAGCACTTTGGTTACCTGATTCTGGTTTTGAAGGAAGGTGTTAGAAATTGATTCTCAAGTGAGCCATGGTATGTATGATAATTCAACATACCTAGTAATTTTGTCAATGAAAGTACATAATACATGAAGAAAATAATTTGATTAAGACCATGTATTTGAAACAGGAAGGGAGGAAGGGAGAGAGAATTATTAGAAATTCTTGAATCCAGAATCTTTCTCGACCAAATTGTTACAGCATAAAATATGTGCTCCAGGGAAAGGGCCAGATCTGACAAAAGTCCAGAGAGGCTGAAGAAAGTCTTACCCTTGGCCACAAAGATGGCTTGCTGATCTTTCAGTTCTAAGGACAGAGAGACAGGCTTTTCTCTCAGGTATGTGCTCTGAAGTTATTTCCAAAATTTTAGAGTAAAACAGACATTGTTCCTGTCTACAACTACTCCAGATGCTTAGGCTATTTCCCTCTGTCCTCATCTATGAAAGGACTAGTCCCTTGGGATAACTGAATGAGGTAATATTTAAATACCCAACAGAATGACAGATGATAACAGAATATGCTGTTTCACAAAGTCTTTACAATTCCCCAAAATGTGACAAATCTTTGCAAACAAATGAAAATTAATGATACAGAAGTTATCTAAATTAAAATGCCTTTAATTTCTGTGTTTGTTTCAACATATAAAATGTTGACGTTCAAAAGATTGTAGAAGAAGGCCAGTAAAAATGTAAGAGCCACAGTATATAAGTGGGTACCCTAGTAAGGGGAACAGAAACTATTTCTGACATGAACTCAATGGCTGCCTCTTTGACCTCCCCACACCCCTAGCAAGGCTCTAGGCCACAGAGGAGGACATGACAGCCAGCCCTGAAGAAACCTGATAAGCTAAGGTCAGATGGAAGGGGAGGAGGACTTCCCCTATCAGTGGACTTGGAAAGGGGCAGGGAGGAGATGAGGGAGGGAGGACGGAATTGGGAGAGAATGAGAGAGCCAGGTACAGCTGGGATACAAAGTTAATAAACTGTAACTAATATTAAAAAATAAAAATGTAATTAAAAAATATTTTCTACAACTGAACTCTGGCAGTTACTCCAATAGTAAGGAGTGAAAATACGATACTATATGACTCTACACAAGTCCCAATAAAACTGTCTGGGGCCTAGACTCAGCACATACACAAAGATTAGTTTCCACTCTGTATATTAATTATTAAAATAAATACTTTGTCTAAAAAGAAAAAGAATGTAAGAGCCAGGGTACAAGGAGAAAGGCTGTGAGATGCCCTCTGCTGAGTGTGGCACAGCAGGGTAGCAGGGTCCCATGGCAGGAGCTTTCCAATAGGCCTTTAGACTGTCATTCATCAGCCAGGAGGGTCTCCCAGGACCCTAC